TGAGTGATTTACAGAAGATTTGGAAACAGATCTGTGACTGAGATTAAACTGCCACAGTTTGACCCAGGTTAGCCCTTCCTCTGAGAGATTATTTTCATGTTAATCTGAGGGAATGAAAATATCACACCTGCTTATTCTATTCTTCATGGCTAGTTGTAGCTCTCCATTAGAATAGTCTCTTCCGCTGTATAAAAGCAGAGAGTCTCAGCAGCTGGGTCTTTCTATTCCCTCATAAATTCTCTTCAGGTCAGTAATGAAATATTGTAAATGAAGTCCAGATAGTGGCCCCAAAAACAGAAATAAACTGAATGTGATCTAAAAATACACAGTGGAACAGCTAATTCTGCATTATTAAATGACTTTTTAAAGCCTCTATTGTTCACAATCTCACAAACACAATCAGTTCCTGTGTCGACGTGCATGTGAAAGTGTTGAGGTGTTTTCCTGCTGGCTGAACTGGGACTGACTGTCGTTATAGTGGGATCTTTCTCATCGTTCACACATAATGCAACACAAAGGAATAAATCTTACAAGCTTTGAGAGTGATTTTCTGTCATGTCTGTGCTATTTTTGATTTCAAAGGCAGCATTACCCAGGAGTTCTGGTTACGGCGCACCACTCGGTTGCTTCAGATTAACAGCAGTGGTACAATTGGACAACTTGCATCTGCAGGTCATTTTATTAGAATCATACTACTGAACAAAACCAAAAAAGTTGCATTTTTTAATATTAATATCCACTGAAGGTAAAACTGATAAGGTAACATTTATGCATATGAATAGTATACTTCTTGTGCAGTTCTTTTGGTGCCATTCCTCCTAAAGTTTTTTTGATGGCAACTCCTACTGTTTTTGGAAGAGAGCAATGAGAGTATCAGTAGGTGAGGGATTAGTACAGGCAGCAATTCTCTCACCTTGACATCAGAAGGTCGGCAGCTGAGATTTGATTCCTTTGCACCATTTTTATTGGTGCAAAAATAAAAAAAAGGTGATTAAACTGCCAGGTTAGCCTGCGCCAAACATGTGCATTTGTATGTGCACAAATGCAAATTTGTGCACATTCATTATGTTTCTTCTCTTCCAGAGTTGTTCATTGAGCGATTCTGTATGACTGGAGGAAACAGTCCCATCGGTTATTTAAAGGCCTACAACACTAACCTCTACTTGTCCTCTGACCCAGTCAAAGTTCACGAAGCTCTGGAACAAGGTATTATAAACACAGAGGGACCTACACTCCAGGTCTCCAAATACGACATTTGACTTGTTTATTTTTGATGAGTTATATCTGTGTGAAATGTGTTGTGAACCAGGTATAGCAGCAGCCACCATGTTTACCCCGGAGAAGATGACAGAAGTGTCAGAGACTCAGCTCCGCGTTGCTTTTGATGGTGATGCCGTGCTCTTCTCTGATGAATCGGAGCAGATTTATAAAGCTCACGGACTGGACAAGTTCTTTGAGCATGAGAAGGCGTACGAGAACAAGCCTCTGGACCATGTAAAGTACACACAATGGGGCACTTATCATTGTCATAAACCTGTTTTTGTATAGTAACATAAATGATAAGGCAACACTGATGCTTGTTTATGTTATTCCGAAATTGGTTTATTGTACTGTGGAAACAGTAGAAACATCTGAGTATCGACAGAGAGCTCTTAAACTGAAGAGAGTCTAATAAATACATCTCTCTTTCTTTGAAGTTTTTGAAGTCAAATGCAAATGTTTTGGCTAAATGCAGAATTTCAAAGTATGGAGTATATCATCTACTTTATTCCATTCCTCCCACAGGGACCACTGAAAGGCTTCCTGGAAGTTTTAGGAAAGCTCCAGAAGAGGTTTTATGCCAAAGGCCAGCGCATGGACTGCCCCATTAGGACCTACCTGGTGACGGCTCGCAGTGCAGCCAGTTCCGGCGCCAGAGCCCTAAAAACTCTGCGGTTGTGGGGTCTAGAGATTGACGAGGCCCTTTTTCTCGCAGGGGCACCTAAGGGTCCCATCTTAGAGAAGATAAGGCCGCACATCTTCTTTGACGACCAGATGTTTCACGTGGAAGGAGCAGCTGAAATGGGAACAGTGGCATGTCACGTGCCCTATGGGATCGCTCAAAGGGTTCCAGAGAGAAAAGGACTAAAAGATAAAGACATTTCTTCAATTAAGTAGCAGAAATGTAACATTTCAGAGGCTCAGGAGTCCATAAGGAATTAATATTCTGCCGCATGATAAGTGTAATAACTGTTTAAGAGTGAAAAATATTAAATTTTAAAATCTAACTGATGCACTTTTTGATATGTATCATTACATCAACCAAAAAATACTTATAGAAATAACCTTACCAGCACCCCAGCACCTTAGAATAGATGAATAGTTGATAAATGTTTATCATTATATTAGCTGTATGTCCTAAAGCAACATTAAGCCATTTGACAGAGAAATGTCTGCATATATCTTATTTTAATCTGATTAACATGAAGTATCACATCAACATTAATTTCTAATCATTTTTGCTATTTTGTGATAAAGAAATTAAACACAGAAAAGATTTTAATACATTTTTTGAAATTAATTAAAAATGTGCTAACAATCCTATAGCTTCCTATAGGAAGCTATAGGATTTCTTATTTTTTCATTACTGGATCAAAACTGACCAAGAAATAATCATTTCCAGTTTAACAAGTAAAAGTATTTATTAACAGCCTCAGTGACCACAATAAATGTTTTATAAGGTTATTTTCAATTGGAAATGTGCCTGATATACAAAAAGTATGTATTTTTCTGGAGTTTTATATTTTTACCCCCATCAAGGGATAGAAATGTACTAAAAAAGAAATAAATGTAGAAGTAGTAAAACTGAAAGACCCATCAATTCCAATATTTACCGAGAAATCAGTAAAAGAAGATGACTATTTTTGTAAGTTCCAGTTTTATGCAAATTAGGAAATTTGTGCAATTCTACTTCATAAAGTGTGCCTTTTATCCCAGTTCTTTCCTTTAGGCTTGTTTTTGTGCATTATATTGTTGCAAAAATAATTAATGTTCATGTTTGATTCAAAACATGAAATTGTGTGCAAATGTCACTTCTGAATTTCTTTGCCCTTGATAACTAGATTATGTAGGCCACAGCAGCTTCAGCGTTTGTTAAAATCACTGCTACATTCTTCATGTTTGCTGCTCGTTTCTGAATGTTAACCAGGTCCAGTGCTAAAGCCTGCCTTATGTGATGTTTCGATGTTATGGCAACACAGACGTGTGGTGAAAGTAATGTTTGCTGTTAAATGTGGCATTTGTGTCAGTTTCTGTAAAGGAGTGTGCAATATCATCGCTTTTAAAACCAAATGTGTTTATTAAACAAATCATTGTATCCAGTTCTCTCATCAGAACAGCGATTTTATTTACTTGCTTATTTATTAATTGCTGTGGAAATTAGCTTCTCCTCATCTTTTTAAGTAAGTTATTTCAATAAAGATCAAGAGAGAATGAGTTTTTACAAATATATCAAAGGGATTTTGTCTCAATATTTGCATTTCTTTTCTATTGTCAGCAGGGGGCGACAGAGCTCTGTTTTTCAAAGATCATTAATTACGTCAGGCTTCTCAGTAAACATCTGTAAAAGCCTGCAATGTACATTCAGTGGCCTAGTTCAACTTAATGGTCTTGATCATCAGAGGAGGATATCCACCAGTATTTTATGTTGTTCCTTTGCTTCAACGTCCTACGGTGGTGGGTCAGAAAATGCTGCTTTTAATGTTTATTACCATCTGGCATAAACAAGATTTAGACCATCATGGCTCAGTGGAAAGAGTGATTTTGTGATCTGTAAGTTGTGGTTGTGATTTCAGCTTCCTCATGTCACATGTGCTCCTGAGCAAGGCATTTAACTCCAAGTTGCCTGCAGTTTTTCCTGTTGGTGTCTGTTTTTATATTTTGAAAAGTGTTTTGAGAGCACTTTATAGAAAAGTGGAACAAGAAAGGATCTTTCCTGTTGTTGAATCTGAAACAATGACCACAAATGAATCAAATTCTGGTTTATATTCTGTTTTTTATATAGATGTGTAACAACTGGGTGATCATTTTGGGACATCAAGTCACTCTAGGATAGTCTCCCTATGTGGACAATGTCTTTCTAATTCTGACCAAACTGATAGATGCCTTTGTTTCTTTTCTGTTCTTAAATTTCTTCTGCTAAGTTTCTTTTTTGTTTTGTTCTTTGATATCCTTCCTGTTGTTAGACAGGTTATTTTCAGGTCATGTTTTGAATATCTAAGTCAGGTGCTAATCATTCAAAATTGAGCTCAGCGTTCCAGGAAGTGAGATTATTGACAATTAGTTCGTGACGTGATTTAACAGTTGGTGCAGTTATGTTCCCAAATAAAGCAAACATGAATAGCTATGTCCTCAGATGACTGAATCTGTCATAACTACATTTTGAATTTCAGTATGATTATGTTTGCCTAATATTAAAATCTGCTTGATGATCCAAAACCTCTAACTGCATCAAAAGATAAAAAAAACTGAAACATCTGTTCAAAATCTTTTGTTGCAGCACTGCAAGAATGCAAAATCTTGAGTATCAACAATGGAGGTCAAAGCTAAATTTAAACACAATTACTTGCTGACTGTAAGAGATACTAAATTTCATACTGCCATCCCTCCTCATCCTTTAGCAACAGCATGATATCATCCCTGCTGCATTAAGAACCTGTTATTGAGGTGTTATGATATACCATCATATATGCACCAGAAATATTTGTTGCTTTGCTGTAATTATTAGACAAGTAAGTTATAGAAACAACTAAAAAAACTCACTTGTTTCCAAAACCATCAGATAACATTTGTCATGGTGACTAAGAGAAAATAAAAGCTTTTAAATTTCTATGTTTCCAGTCAAATCATCTTCACTTTTATAGCAAGTCAAGGCACTGAAAATAAAACATAGTAGAGATGAGGTTCACTTATGCTATAAAAAAGTTTTCAAATTGACACACTTAAAAGACTACAATCCCAAAAACTTTCAATGAGACTTTTATTGCTCTTTTATTTTGTAAGACTGTTTACATTTTGTAAGACAGAGAAAAACTTTGTTTTGTTTCAAATTCCACTCAAGCAGCTTTTTTGGTTTTCATCATAATGCAACACAATGCTTCAGGAGTATTAGCACATACGCACAGACCCCTACACATAAGCAATATAAGTATTTTGTAGGAGGTTTTTAGCGGAAGAAGCCGGCCACCCAGCCCACAGCTGCTCCTGCACCGGCTACAGCGACACTGGTGGCGCCAGACAAACCAGCAGCACCTGCAACATTTGACATTGATGTTTAATAAGTAAAAACAGAATCTCAAGCCACTACAAACATTTTTGACATATTGTTATGAAGAAATTATTACAGCAAAGGAAGATGAAGAAACATGATTAATGTATTCCAACATTGTTTTTAACCTGCTGATTGCAGGACAGCCACCAAACTTCCTGCTGCCACTCCGCCTCCGTTGGCAACTGCTGCTGAAGACATCATGCCCGCAGCGTAGGAACCTGCTGCAATCCCACCTGAGGTGAAACCTACAGCTGTCAGAGCGGCAGGTGCTGCGGCCAATGCCAAGGCTAGATGGGGAGACACCCCAGAATGAAAATGCATAGTTATAAATAAATAATCGACGTGAGCTCAAAGGTAAAATGTGATTCTTCGAGTGTGTCGCAACCTGCTCCTGCAGCAACAGCAACTGTAAGATACAGTCATAATATATCAGTTCATCTCTCCACATTAAAACTCGTTTCATGTGAGTTTTTACATTTTGCGAGCTAAAGAAAAACTTTGTCTTTACATAAATAAGCACAAATAAATTAATTATTACATAGCTAATTAACATAAATAAAGTCAGATCACAGAGCACTCACATGGATTCATGTCTGTCCTCTGTTCAACAAGCCTTGAATATGAACTGTGTTCTTTCACCAAGAGCACTTAGGTTTCTTTTCTCGGAAAACAAAACTCTGAGCACCAAACAGAAAGGTGCTCAGAGTATCTGTGCTCAGACTTGGCAGGGACAGGATATGTCCCCGCCTCCGAGTCTCAAATCTGATTTAGAAAATGGGACCATTGCACTCCGGAAGTAAATGAGGCGCTATCTCCTATGTTATCCTCGGCCTCCCGTTTATATTTTTTATTTTTAAATCTGTGATCTATCTTCACTCTCAGGATTTTCTCAGCATGTATTCAAACTTCTCTCTTTTATTTACTTCAGCGCAATTCACAGTTTTGAACAAATTCTCTCTCTCTGTGTACTTCTAAATCTACTCCATAGTCGCATCTTTTCGGGCCTGCTACTGCCTCTAGTGGCGTAGAGGTGGCATCACAACTAATCAAATGACATTACTAAATCAGAATACCACAACGTCTTTATTATTTCCATGTGTCTTCCCCACATGGAAAACCTCGATGCATGTCTTCTATGTGGGGGAAGACATGCATCGAGGACTAAGGCATCCAGACATGAGTTATGCTTTGCCCCTGCGCCACCATAGCGCCCTCCATATTTTATATATAAATATTGCTTTTATGTCATGTCTTTATATCACTGACGCTTATGAGCTCTGTGTGCAGATTGGCTGCCAGAGCTGACATCTGCAGCTTCAGCTTTAAACTAAACAAGATCTCAACCCTCACAGCAGATCAAAGCTGCTGTGAAGAGCCTTCTCACTGTTTGTCTTGCAATTATTAGTACACCTGTACTGCCCTTCAGTACAAAACAATATGAAATTTGGACTCTATAAGTAAGAGCTGACATGATGAGATGATTTTGACTGTGTTTGCTCTTATCTTGTAAAAGAAGAGTACTTTGGAAATGAACACTTCTTGAATAAATACATTTTTACCAGAACAACACAGAAGTAGATTGGATCATACCAACTCTTCACCTCACAGTTACAAGGACCTCCCACTGTCATTTTACTATAAATTGAACCTTACTGTTAGTGTTCTGCAGAACCAGTCAAACCAGCTTCAGGAAAGGAGAAACATAAACCCTTTGAAATTTGTAATTGTGAGTTTGCTGTCTTGGTGTTTTTAGAGATTACCAAAAGAATTTTTAACCCGGCTTTAAGTTGCTGCTTTGATAAAGGTGCAATCTGCCCTTTTACATTCTGAAACATTTAATATCGAACCAAACACAGATATGGACTCTGAAACCATAGAAGAAATGTGTAAGTAATGATGAATGTAAATATTATTCATTTATATTCATACCCTCAACTTCTTAATTGTTTGTTGTGTGTTTTTACCTACTTTTTGTATTTTACAAATAGGTAAGGCCATCATTACGGCATTTTCAGTCGGTAAGTATTCAGACACTTGCAATTTAACCATCATCTTGCTACCAAATACAACCATTTGCTGAAAAATAAACTGAAATTAAAGCTGCAAGCAGCCTCGAACGGCCCTCGCAGCCAAGCGCCGCTCCGGCCTATTGCCACCGCGGGGTACTAGCAACCGTCGCCTCACGTCAGCCACCACAGAAGCTCTCACGCAGTTTTCAGCTCCTCCGCCTGCACCGCGGAAGCTGTTGCTCAGTTTCCATCAACGCTGGCCACGTGCTAACACAGAAGTTGTTGCGCAGTTTCCGCGCCCGTCCACCAGGCGGTACGCACTGATGCGTTCGGAGGCGCTCCTTGACGATGCAAAAAATGTGGTGCAGATTCATTGGTTTAGCGAGGAAATATAGCTGGCGGATTAATGTAGGACGCGCAGTGGAGTCAAAATATATTTCAATGCTGTTGTTCTCTTTAGAGGTCAACAAAGGTCATACGTATCCAATTTGGCGTCAGTCGGATGATCCACGTGTCATTTACAGCCGATCATATGCACATGGCGAAGTACTACAGTTCGTCATTTTTCATCATCTTCAGCTGTGTTTCTAAAGCACTCTATTTCATTGTTGGAGTAATATTTACTCAGAGTGGCGAATTACTGAAATGGTTTGTAAGAAGTAAGAAAACGCTACATTTACTGCATGATTTAATTCAACAAAAATTATCTGAGACATTTCTATCCTTTTAGAAATTTCATGGCAACGCTCTCACAAAGTTTTCACGCCCATCCGCCCGTGGATCTGTTTGTCATTGGTGGAGGAACACTGACACCTACTGGCGAAATACTGATATTGTTCTTCATCCTGTTTATCTGCTGTTTCATTTGTGGAGCAATACTGACCCCAAGTGGCGAATTACTGAAATGGTTTATAAACGGCAAAAATGGGATCAAAATCTGAACTTCAATCAAAAATGGCCGACTTCCTCTGGGGTTTAGACCATGGCTCCAAGAGACTTTTTTGTAAGTCCTGACATGGTACACACGTGTACAAAGTTTCGTAATTGTAGGTTAAAGCATGGCTTGGGGCTGATCATTTAAAATTTTCTAGGGGGCGCTATAGAGAAATTAGGCCACACCCTACAAATATTGTGATGGATTCCTGTCGGGGAGTGGATGAAGATCCATCCTTGTGAGATTGGAGCAGCTGCGCCCAAAAATGTGGAATTGAGAGCCAAACGTATGGCGATGGCGTTACAGGTGACTTCGCCACGCCGCCACGCCCAGCTGCTCCATCGAAGCTGGTCGGGGTTGGAATCCTCAACACACCAACATGTCTTCTGTGTCTGGGCACAGTTTCATGTTGATGAGGTCAAAGGGGACAGATAGCGACCGTTCAGAGTAAAACATGACACTTCCTTTTCTCAGGGGGCGTGGCCTAAGTGATGTCATCATTCGACCATAGGGTATTGTAGGACACCCGATGATGATCAATCACAGAAACTTTGGTGCCTCTGTGAGTTTCTGTGTAGGAGATATAGCAGTTTATTTTTTTACTGCGAGTAGGTGAACTTTGACCCCTGCTAACCCCCCTTCAGCATTCTCAAAAACTCACCGTTTTGATAACTTTAGATGGGACATGCCTCATGAACAGACTGACCGAGTTTGAAGCCGATCAATCGAAATCCCTAGGAGGAGTTCGATCAAATAGGAAGGCTGTAAACGGCAAAAATGGGGTCAAAATCTGAAGTTCAATCTAAAATGGCCGTCTTCCTGTGGGGTTTCGATCATGGCTCCAAGAGACTTTTTTGTAAGTCCTGACAAGGTACACATGTGTACAACGTTTCGTAATTGTAGGTTAAAGCATGGCTTGGGGCTGATCATTTAAAGTTTTCTAGGGGGCGCTATAGAGAAATTAGGCCACGCCCACCAAATATTGTGATGGATTCCTGTAGGGGAGTAGATGAGGGACCATCCTTGTGAGTTTGGAGCAGCTGGGCCTGAAAATGTGGAATTGAGAGCCAAACGTATGGCGATGGCGTTACAGGTCACTTCGCCACGCCGCCACGCCCACCTGCTCCATCAAAGCTGGTCCGGGTTGGAGTCCTCAACACACCAACATGTTCTTTGTGTCTGGGCACAGTTTCATGTTGATGAGGTCAAAGGGGTCAGATAGCGACCTTTCTCAGTAAAACATGACACTTCCTGTTCTCAGGGGGCGTGGTCTAAGTGATGTCATCATTCGACCATAGGGTATTGTAGGGCAGCCAATGATGATTAATCACAGTAACTCTGGTTCCTCTGTGAGTTTCTGTGTAGGAGATATAACAGTTTATGTTTTTATGGCGAGTAGGTGAACTTTGACCCCTGCTAACCCCCCTTCAGCATACTCAAAAACTCACAGTTTTGATAACTTTAGATGGGACATGCCTTATGAACAGACTGACCGAGTTTGAAGCCGATCAATCGAAATCCCTAGGAGGAGTTCGATCAAATACGAAGGCTGCAAACGGCAAAAATGGCCTCAAAATTGGACCTTCAATCCAAAATGGCTGACTTCCTGTGATACCTGCACTATGACATTAATTGTAAATTTTGAGCGTCTTGGGGAGCTCTACAAGTGTACCAAATTTCATGTCTCTACGATGAAGTAAGTGAATAGCAAAGGGTCCTTTGAAAATTTCTAGGTGGCGCTATTCAGCCATTTCTTTTGCAATTTTTGCGTCGACTTTAAAATACGTAAATTTGAAACAGGCTTAAGGCCTCCGCCAAGTTTGGTGAGTTTTTGAATATGATAAAGCCCCAAAAAGCCAATTCATTTGGAGGGAGAATCGTAATAATAATTAAAGCTGCAAGCAGCCTCGAGCGGCCCTCGCAGCCAAGCGCCGCTCCGGCCTATTGCCACCGCAGGGTACTAGCAACCGCCGCCCGACGCCAGCCACCACAGATACTCTCAGCAGTTTTCAGCACCTCCGCCCGCACCGCGGCAACTGTTGCTTCGTTTCCATCAACGCTCCCCACGTTCTAACACAGAAGTTGTTGCGCGGTTTCCGCGCCCGTCCACCAGGCGGTACGCATCGATGCGTTCGGCGGCACTTCCTGACGACGCACAAAAAATGTGGTGCAGATTCGTTGATATAGCGAGGAAATATAGCTGGCGTATTAATGTAGTTGGAGCAGTGGAGTCAAAATACATTTCAATGTTGTTGGGGTGTTTAGAGGTCAACAAAGGTCATACATATCCAATTTGGCGCCAGTCGGATGATCAACGTATGATTTAGAGCCTATCATATGCACACGGTGAAGAACTGTAGTTCGCCATTTCCACCCCCCAATGCGGTCTGGTCAGCAGCCAGCACTCACAGAGTTCATCATCTTGTCGTTTTAAGTCAGTATTCACATGATGAAACCCATATATATGATAGAATAACAGTAAAACTCACAGGAGAAAAAACTGGTGATTGCCTTTGAAAAGTGGGCGGGGCTAGGGTGATTTCATCAAGTGACCATGGAAATGTGTTCAGGATTGTTCTATAGAGAAACACAGGAAGTGTGATGCAGCTGTGATCTTGCATTTGGAAGTTTTTTAATGTTTATGTTTCATGGCAAATAGTGAAAGTTTTACACTAAGCCACGCCCACATGCTTTGATGTTAACTGCAACTGAGATCTAAATGCAGTGCAACTTTAACATTTTCCTAAAATGAGTCAGGAAAATGTTAAAGGTTAAGATGTATCAGTTTAATAAACCCTTCT